GTCTCCTTCTCTGGAGATATTCAAGACCCACCTGGACAAGGTCCTCTACAGCCTACTGTGGGTGACCCTGCTTCGGCAGGAGGGTTGGACTCGATGACCCACAGAGGTCCCTTCCAACCCCTACCATTCTGTGATTCATTCTGTGAAGCATTCTGAGATTTCACAAGACACCCCTATGCAGTTATCTCCTATGAGATCTTAAACAGAGTTGCATAGACTTCTTTAGAAACTCCAGCAATAAAAGAAGGGACAGATAAACAAATTTGCTGAGAAATGGAAATTACATCAGTTGTGAATTTCATGCTCTGGGCTAACTTAAGAAGAGAATTTACAAAGAAAAGAAAGTCAGTGTCATGCTTTGCAATACAAGGCAAAAATAACATTGCATTAACTTCAAATAAATTCTAAGATTTACTAATCTACTTGGTTTTGGTTTTTTTTTTAAGAATGAAGACACTCAGGAAGAAGTACCAAGTATGTAGACAAGGGTGATTTGCTGCTCAGTCACAGAAACCTAAAACCAGAGGTATCAGCACCAGGCACTGAGTACAGGGATGAGCCCCAGACCAGCAGAAAACAAGGAAGAACTGGTAGCGAGCATCAGGTAAAAAATAGCCTAAGAAGCATCAATTTCCTTGTACTGCACAGTAAACCAGGTTTGGCTTCTGATAACCAGGTCAGTGACTCTGGAAGCAGTGGCAGAGAACAGTCTAGCTCTCAGCATTACCACTTCAGGAGGCATGAGCAACACAGCAATACTGACAATCAACCTGTTCTGAGCAATGTAGAAAATCCAGTGGATGCTCTTAGTCTTGATCATGAGCATAACATGTGGAAATACAATAAAAATACAGTTGGCCTGTCTGAAAAACACAGTGAAAGTGATGAAGAAGGTGTGGGAAAAGAGGATGAGGAATGGGGTGAAGAAACTAATCACAGAGATATGAAGCACAAAGGCCACCAGACAAAACAAGGTAACCAGTATGAAAGACAGCAAAACGAAAACAGTATGCAATCTGATGAAATCCTAAGAGATTCTAGTCAACCAACCTGGATAACCAAGAGACATGGTAAGAAATTTGACCTAGAGGAAGAAGAGAGGGAGAACAGCCAGAAAAAGCCCTATAAAGAAGAAATCCCCCTCTCTCAAAAAACTGTAACAAAGACCGGGATGACAAACAGCAAAGCCAAGAGAGGAAAGACAATATGCAAGTAAGTTATCAGAGTGATCTTGACACAGTGGTGAAAAGACAAGATATGGAGGACAGTAATGTTGACGATCATGATGGTCACGACAGTGGTGATGTGGATGGCAAGGAAGATCTCAGCAATGCCTGGAAAGAAGTAGCCTATGAGGAAGAGGAAAGAATCCAGAGTAATGATCAGGAGAGCACCAGTACTGAGCACAAAGGGACAGGAACCACCAAAGATAACACTGCAGTTCATAGAGAGACCAATGATTACCAAGATGTCAAGACTAAAGCCCTTATTCCCTCTGAACAAGAGGATTACCATCATGACCTACCTAATTCTGACAGCAAGCAACAACTGGAAATGAGTAGCTCTGTTCAGAGCATGAATTCAATGCAAAGTGAAGATAAGGTAAATGTTCTTTAAAATAAAGTTGGAATATTAGAAAAAGAGGGGCAGAGGGGAAATCAGTCCCAAATTTAAATTCCTGATGACTGAAAGGACATTTTGGACAAAAACAGGTGTAATTATTAATATGCAGAAGTCTTCTCTCCACTTTCATTTACTATTCATCTAGTTCATGCTGTGTCACTTCGCATATAACATTTAGATGAATTGTACCAGAAAGGAAGTGACCACAACTCATGTAAGAGCTCCAGCCCCAATGGGCTGTGTAATTAAGTATACAAATAAATATGGATACACAGATACAAAACCTGGAACCCAGTCTCAAGCCAACTAGGAAAGCCTGTTCATTTCTCTCTCCCAAAGATTTTAAACACTATCATACAGAAGTTAACAGCTTGGAAAGGCAAGGCTAGAGTCCTTGGAATAACCACCATCCTAGTGGCTAGGGCATTTTCACATGAGATGAAGGATGTGGGCTTTGCCCCTTCAAAGGAGGGTGTTACAGCCAGATCTCCCGCACCCTGGTCAGCCATGAGATAACCAGTGAACTATCATTGGTGTTCTTCAAAAGAAAGGAGTTAGTTTTCCTATGGCTGTTACATAAGGATCTGTAATATTAAAAAAAAATAAAAAATTATAGGAGGCATGCATTTGAAAGAGGGCAGTCCCATCCCCACAGCACCAAAGAAGGGTCAGAATCGAAGATACATCCTTCCCTTCTCCTCCTGCTTCATGTGTCTGGTCTGGCAGCTCAGGGTGCTGCTGCTCTCCGGCGCTACTGAGAGGCAGTTCATACTCACTGACCTGGAGGGCCACGGTGCAAACTAAGACTTGAAGCACCAGTTCTGCCAACCTCAACGCACTACGCCTCTCTGTGTCAAGTACTGCAGAACCTCCAGGCACCCAGACCTTATTGAGCTCCTGTTTCTCTCTCTCCCCCTCCTACTCTTTTTTTTTTTTTCCCCAAATAACAGAGCTCCTTAATGCTACCAGAGGCTTTATGCAATTCTCACACATTTTGCACAGCAATCTGCTTCTGCTGCAAGCAGAGCAAACTGTGCCTCAGTCAGCTCTATATTTGTACCTGAAAAAATGTTGTCTGAGTATTTTTTTTCTTCACAAGATTTACCACAACTTCTCGTGATGTCTCTGTGACTGCACAGGTTAAGACTACAAGCAGTTCCTATGGTGAGATGGAAAGCGCAAGCAACAGGAGTGAGAAGGCTCTCCAGGGTAAGCCACAAAGCCATCATCTAACTGCTAACTCTGCAGCTGGGGAATCTGCTGCTCTGCATTTCTTTTCTGCCTTTGGCAGCACACAATTTCACATGACTGAACTGTGCTTGTGCATAATCCTGCGTTGCAGTTATGTTCCCAGAGAATCCCTTCCTACACCCCTGGGTTTACTCCTTTGTTCATGAAAAACATTTGTAGGCAGTGCACAAATTTTTGTGTCAGAACAGTAGCTTGAATACAACAAGGAATGGGACAAATGCCAATGCCAGATTCAGCAAGGACAGATGGGATATGTTTCATCAAAGGAAGCTGGAAATGAATGTCAGTCCTTATAGGAGAAATAGCTTTTTCGCAGAAATTTATTTCTCTGCTCAACTCAAACTGGGACTGCTAGATTTCTCACAAAATTCCTCATTTAAAGTATGGCTTGCTTCATTCAACACAAGACCCAGCTGCATTTTAACAAACTTACAAAAAGCACTTGACTTCTTGGTGAATATTGGGGTGTATTTTGCTTTGACTATCAGTAGCACCTGACAGAAACACTTGGCTTTGTCCCATCCTCTCTGACAGTCCCTCCTTCTTGCTATGATCACTAGATCCATGTAGGAACTTCCACTGCAGAAGAGGTAAAGTCTGCCATCCGGACAAACATGGGAAACCCAGCTGTATTTGCCAAGATCCTGCTGCTTGCCCTTCCACCAAAGGCTATGAGCACTAAGTATTTCATCCAGTGCACAGCACAGGGGAAAGCCTATTAAAATGCTTACAATATAACGCATGCCTTGCTATTATTTAGAATAATTCTACCCTAAAAAGCATGCAAGTGGGTTTGAGTGATTCCAGTAACTGCAAAAGTATAAAGTACTCAAACTCACTAACTATAGCTTGAGAACAGTATGAACACATGTAGCTACGTAGTACCTAAAGTGATTTGCTTCAGTTGGTCTCTCAGGGATCATAGCTTTTCCCTGTCACTAAAAGTTCTGTTTATCCATTTGATGTTTTAGAGCATATACTGAATACTAGTACCTATCTAGCATAATAATCCTGTACCATCTCAGACACTGTGTTACTACCACACAAAAATACATTCAAACATCTTGAAACTGGGTGTGTAAGTACAGACTAATTCTTAGGTAGGCATATAACTACAATTTTCAATACTTCAGATCGCATGTATTCCCTGTAGATATTCACAGCTGCTACATCTTATGTTAACAATAATTTTATTATTATAATGCCATATGAGTGACCAGAACTTTTCTCAACATGGGGGGGGGTGGGGTGGGGGTGTATCACTTCTCCTCTAGGTTTGTGGCACGGATAATAAGACTTATGATGGCACATGTCAACTCTTTGGCACCAAATGCTGACTTGAAGGGACAAAACTGGGACATCAGCTGCACCTAGACTATATGGGCTACTGCAAATGTAAGGCTTGTTTTTCTATGAAGAGTTCACCTGGGTATAAAGGGCCAATAGCCTTAACCACCAGCTAGCCCTAAGTTATCTGCTTTCTTCCTGTGCTCTCCCCCTTCTGCATCAATTATCTGCTAATCAAGACCTTCAAACCCTAAACATGTCTAAAAAGTCTCTTTTTCTATAATTAAGGGTATTAAGCATCTGAATGCTAAGGACATCCCTCCTGTGCTTATACCAGTTTGTTGTCAACCCTGTCTTCCCCCTGCGCTGTCTTACATTCTCCCATTGCTATAGCATCTGAAGATGCTTTTTTAATACCTTGACCAAAAAAACAGTATTTACAGCCAGTTAATAAATGAAAATGTAAAGTCCAAAAAACAACCCCAAAAAAACTTAGATGCCAAATGCAGAAGTCGAGATCTAAAAGCCAGAACTGATTTTCAAGCTCTTCAGTTGCTGCAAACCCTGGAGGAAAGTGCACTCTCAGCCTGAATTTTCCTTTGCTGTCGAGAACTCTGCTTTCATGCAACTGACTGATAACTGTTTCACTGCACAACCCTGCTCAGAAGCTACACAGACATGTAAAGGTTGTTGCTTGCACAACTGGTTAAGCATGTGCACCAAAGAATTGTAGATTTATAACTGAACCTATTAGATGCATTCCCAATTTTTTGTATTAACAGCTCCATCAATTTTAAGCTTACCTGGAAGTTTGCTAGTGAGCATCAAATCTAACTTGGCTCAGAAATGCTTGAATGGTGATTTAACAGATCACGTGTTAACAAAAGCTTTCCTATTTGGCACAGACATCCCCCACTACACTGATTATGAAGTGGATCAGTTTCCCCTCCGGATGCGAGATTGGCTCAAAAACATCGTTATGCAATATTACGAAAGTGATCTGGATACTTCGGGATTTCTAACTGAAAAGCAAAGGACTAAGGTCAGCAATCCATTTCAAGTAAGACCATGCAGTTACATTGTTAGAGACGGACTAACCATGTGAAAAAATTGATTCACATCTTACAAGTTCTCCCATTTCCTATGAGCATTCCCTTTCTGGTTAAGGCGATTTAGACTCAATTAGATTCATAAGTTGCAAAATACATGTCCTCTCGCACTCATTTAAGCCAAGACACATTTCTGCTACAAATGTTTTTTGTCCTAGCAAATGCAAGCCAAATGTATTACTTTGAAGTCAGCATCTAAAGCCAAGAGGCAGAAAATTCAGAACTAGTGCACATCTAGATAAACATCATTTGCTTAAGAAGACATGAAACAGCTTCTGTTCAGGGAAGTGCTTTGTGACAAACCTCTTGGAAAGATCAGCTAATATGTAGATAAGAATGACCCAACATATGCAGTCAACGCCATTTTCCAAAAGACTTGAGGAAACAAAGCAGCCATAGCCTAAGATGAAAGGTCTGGGCATGGATAACTAATTAAAAGACAGAATAAGAGGGAACAGCCAGCCAAGAGCTCACCTGTGGAGTCCCACAAGTTGAAAGGACTTGTGCCATTTAGTTTTTGTTAAATAACCTGGAAGACGAAGGTAGGTGACAAAGTCTGCTGATAACACACAGGTATGCAAAGGAAGGAGGGACGGACTTGGACTCACCATGAAGAAAACTGCTCAAGGACCTCATGAGACTGAGCATCTGGGCAGGAGTCGAGACAGAATTAGAACAGAGATGAGGATACCCTCATGGAGGCAGGGGATTCCTGCCTTGGACCGACCAAAAGTAGCTCCTCTTCTGTTCTTGAGACACACCTTGTACTTGCCCATCAATACAAAAGAATCTGAAAATGGAATCAACAGTTACAGGTATCCTTTGCACTTTTTAATCTGGACACATACATTGTTCATCTACGCCATGATATTCAAGAGCTCTAAAATTACGCAAGTATGACACTCAGTTTTAAGAGCAGAGCTGCTTTCTACCATTCAGTAGCCCTGCAGTCATCACACTACATTGCCTTAAAATCGAGTAAGCATCTATTACCATTAGGATTTTTACTTTTTTAATGGGAAGGATTTATGTCAAGTGAATTGGTGACAGTAGTTTGATTTTGAAGATACAGGTGCCATTACTGCCTGACAGGCCACAACTGTTAGAAAATAGTTGAAGTTATACAAAAGTTAATTATTAAGTTATACAAAATATTACCTAGAGGGGCATTGATCTACCCAGTACATCTCATACTAAATGGTATGAATTAGATGATTTCTGAGATGGCTTATTTCACACCAAAAGCTGAGTTGACTTGCTCAGGACAGAAGATCAATAAATGTGATAAAACTGTTTTCACGTCCTACCACCCTAACGCTACTGCCCTGCTTAGCTGAGTCTTACAATTAGGCCACAGGAATTTCACTCTCTTTCTAGTTACTACCAAAATTGAAATGGACAGCAACAAAAATCATCTGGACTACTTGAAGCAAGCTTTTCATGCTGTGTATGGTCAAACACACTAAAACACATTTCCTCAATGGTATTTTATCAAGTTTCATTTCTCCAAACCACCTCCTTGCTGGATAGTTCTCTTCAGGACAGATCTTCATCCCTAAACAAAAAAATGTTGATTTCTCCATTGTGTTCAGGTCCAAAAAATCTACCAGAATGACAAGCGCCTTGTGGTTGGCGACCACGCAGTTGAGCTGCTCCTGCATGACTTTGAGAAAAATTATCACATGTATGTGTATCCTGTGGACTGGCAGTTTCATCAGTTTGATCAGCACCCTGTTGACAGGTAAAAAAAAAAATTTTTGCAGTCTCAGTTCCGATTTGCTGTTTAAGCTCAGGCTGCTTTACTTTTCTAAACCACTCAAAGGATTCTCTACATACAGGACCAGTGCCTCAGCTGATAGAAGCCAGTATCCTCTCTCTCTAAAGAGGCATTCACTTCTAACACAGAACTTCTCTCATTTTTCTGCTGGAGCCATGTCTTAGGTCAGAACTTGCTACTCTCTTGCCTTTCATAATCATCACCTATTACACCTTAAGCTCTCTTTCATAATCATCATGTATTACACCTTAAGCTCTACAGTGTGTTAATAGCTACTAATTCCCTGATCCTGGAAGAAAACAAGGCTCATGAGATCCTGTTATTACTGAAGCTAAGACCAGTAGGCTAAGTACAAAGGGCAGAGGCCTGTCAGCAACAAGTTACTAGTGAGGTACCCCTAGTTTTCAACTAGTACTACAGAAATGTCTCAGTTTAAGGAGCAGATATGGTAAGACAGCACCAGTGTCACAGTTCAGAGGAAGCCCCCAGCTTCTGAGACTCAGATTTCAGGCTTTCGGTTATGACACTCGGTGGTGGGATCCATGTTTCAAGGCTGCCAGCCCTCAATACCTTGTGCTGATCATATCTACTGTCTTAGAACATAGCTAAGCATCTTTGCAAGCTTAATCTCCTGAAGAATAATGACAAAACACCACAACTGACGAGTTGGGAAAAAGTCACAGTAATATTTGTTCTAGAAAAAAATGTTAGCAAACAAATAGCAGTTAAAACATTTTAGTTTATCAGGTATTATACATCGTCATAACTGCCTAGGACAGATTCACTACAGAAACACCACAACAGAATCCACTGGGGCATCTGTCAAAGCCACTGTTGTGATCTTCTAGCAGCTTAGAACATCTTTGTTGATCCTGATGATTTATTAATGAAATACAGTTCGACATACCTGCTCTTTCTTTCAGATTATTAACACACTCTGAGCTTGCGCCTCTGAGCGCTTCCCTTGTTCCCATGGAACACTGCGTAACCCGTTTCTTCCAAGAGTGCGACAGAGACCAAGACAAGCTCATTGCTTTGAAGGAATGGTGCCACTGCTTTGGGATTAAGGAAGGTAAACCTGAAAGAACAGGCAGATGTATAGGACAAAATGTTATCAAGACTATGCACATTCTCAGACCACAACATACAGGAAAGAAACTGTAGCCAGAAGCTCATAGCTACTGTGCACAGAGGCAAATGGAACAGTAACAACAAGACTGCAAAAGGTGCAAGGTTCTGAATTGTTTCATAAAGACAGGAAAAACTTCTATTTTCAATGAGGAACAATTTGGGATGTAGTTTGTACCAAATATCAAATCCTTCCTGTGTGGTGCCTGACCCTATGTAGAACACATAGGTGTGTTCTAGGCACATCTGCCTCGCAAGAAACACTTCAGTGCCAAAGGAAACGCAAAGTGAACTTGTACTTTTAAATCAGTGTTCAAAGCATATTGATTGAAAATGCATTTAAATATCGAGACAAGTAGGGAAAACAACTGACACCTCTCACTGATCAAGTAACTATGCTCATCTCTAGATTAGTACTTACAACACAAACCCTGTCACCACACTGCAGTTGCAGGCCAAACCATCTGTTTTACCTAATTTGTCAGATGCAACACATTCTCAGATGGTGCCCACCAGACTGCATGCATCAGGAGGCTTAGGCAGAGGTGGGAATAGTTTCTGAATCCTAAATGGGCTAGGCATATGGTTGATTCAGCTCAATCTACATTGAGACTTCTCTAGGAAAGTGAAAAGCTAGGTACTACTGTGCTGGTGATGTCTCTAGAATTAGGCAGCAGCTGGACAGAAGCTGTCATGATAGCAATTTGAGATTTACATGACTAAGTTCAACCTAATGCATTCTTGCACAATCTACCTTCTGATCTAGCCTTGAGTGACAGCTGAACAATACTGCCAGTCATTAAGCAAGGGTAGCAGTAGCACAGGTTAATCCTACAACACTTCTGTGAAAGAAGAAGTGTGACTAAATATGTGGACTGAAGAAATGTGTTCAAAGTCCTACTAGCAACTCCCTAACTTTAAGCAGAAGGCTGATTCTGGTCAGATGTGCAGAGGCTTCACTCTCCCCAGAATTTTTCTAGTTCTTCTGATTACAATTTATCAGTCACAAGCAACATGAGGAAGTAAGCTGCGAGCAGTTATCATAATACACGTGTACTGCTGCCAGTGATTGTTCATCCAAAGAGGGGTTTAGGATCAGCCATTTGCGAAGAGTGGGGCAGAAGGGATTCTTGGCTCACAAACAGCGCAGGGAGATCTAACACTAGAAACATGAAAGCACCTATCAAGAAGGGTTTAAATGAATGGCTCCTGAATATGACAGCAGCAACCATACTTGTGTTTTGCTTCCCTCATGTGAGCCCTCTGAAACTTCAGAGTATCACTTTCTGGACAGCAATACAGCACAACAATGTGTCTGTTATCAAATGTTAATAACATTTTCTTCTTCTTTGTTACAGAAGACATAAATGAAAATCTCCTGTTCTGAGCTGACTGAAGAGAATCCCAGTGCTGCACTAGAACTGGTGAAATATGTGAATCCCGTTTATTTCTGTAATTACCAGCTTCATAGTTTTCAAGACAAATATGGCATTAGGTTCACTGCATTCTTATCAAACAACACAAGTGCAGAAGAGTTCTACATTCATTAACAGCAGAAAAAATTAACTACCCCAAGTGGTTCATAACTAAACAACCAGTGTTTTCCCCTACATGCATCCATGACCTCTCTAAACCAATAAATAGTACTAACCTGATGACTGAGCTGTTCACAAAACTCTTCAGTAGAATTATAGGATGTGGATTTCACCAGACACTGAAGAAAATTACCTTGAAATGGGACTTGTTTCCTTTATTTACTGTATTGTCAGTTTAACATTCTGCATAGAAGCCTCGAACAAAATAAGTCTACCTAGATATATTGGTTTTGTCAGAACTTTGTCAAAGAAAAGGTATCAATGCAACAGTTCAATGGAAATTTCATTTTAGATTTAAGGGGGGAGAAGAAATTAGAGTGGAGATCATACACATCAGTCCTTAAACCATAATTCCTAAAATACATGAAAAAATCAGCACTTTTCAGACACTTCCAATGAGTTAATTATATGAGTATGGTGAGTGTGGATGCGTGTCAAAAGACTGATCAGCAACAGGTCCACCATCACAAGGAGCAGAGGGTATCACAGCTCCAACACCTCTCCTTATTCTCCTTAGCAGGCACATTCTTCCTTCCTCCCACAGAAGCACCAACTACTGCTACCATTTTTCCTGAGAAAGAAATGCTAGCTATGTCTTTCACCATCTCCTAACTTTTGCTTGCCTGAAGACAGACACAATTTAGGCATAAAAACCAGGACAGAATGAGATTATTCCTGAATCCCATTAACTCTGTGATTTTAAGCCAAGCACTTCACCAAAACCACTCCAGGCACACCCTGCTGTAAGCAAGCAGCCCCAAATGCTGTTGCTACAGAGGAAGATCAGAAGACACCTTTCACCTGAACCATGTCACCTTTCCAATGAAAGGAAAACAGGATTCAGAAATGCTGTTTTGGTAGCTCGAATAGTGCCCCTCACTAATTCACTCTTGAACCAGCAAGGGCTGCTAATTCTAGTGCAACTCCAGCCTGATGCCCTGGGAGACAATGAATCAAGCTATGATTATTTTCAGCACAGGAACTTCTTACACAAAAAATTATTTCCCATCAAAACCAGTTTCACCAACGTAACTTCCAACCCTAATGGAAGACTGACAACACATGGGATATTCCAGGACAAATATCAACCTGCACTTCCCTTCTCACATTCCAAGCCAAAGCACGCACTACTACAGACATACCACCCAACCAGACAATCCTTCCCTCTGATCCAGGACAACCACTAAGCCCTCTGTAGATCAAGTCTGTCCTCAGGACCTAGAACCGTATGTGTCAGGGCAAGCACCCTCATCAGCTACGTGCACTAATCCTTGCAACAATATATTCAACAGAATTGGCCTGCTCTCATCCATTTAGGTCTCACCTGCTATGAGGCAGGACATTCAGCTCTCAAGGCAAGCGTGACCTCCTCCTCCTCCATTAAATGTGGCTTCTTTAAGTCACAGCAAGTAGAACTTTCAAGACAGCCCAGATAGGCTTAAAAACAGAAAAAAGTTTAGCTATATTTTGTTAGCTTAGGCTTAAGAACAGACAGAACACCATAAATACCACAAATGAGCAACTCATTCCAGTTCGGTCCAGTTTCCACCGACTGGCACCGAACAACAGTTAATTCACAAAACCTTTACTCCAAAATTAACTGAAATTGCTCAGTTAAGTGGGTTCCCTCTGTGCAAAGAGGTGCAAGGATCTGATCCAACATTAACAAACCAGAATGCAAAGACAAGCTGGCTAATCTCTTTTGACTGACTTGGCCATCTGAATCTCCTTTTCAAAGGAGATCAATCTCCTTATCAGTGCTGTACTGATACCAGATGTGTTTGCATTAAGTTTAATTTTCAGTCCTCCTGCATGGCCACATGGAAGACTCCAAAAAGAAGGAAATACAAGTGACCACTACCTCACCTGCGGATTCTGGCTCAACAGTCCATGCCAACAGGTGTGGATTTGCAATTCTACCCTTTGTGGCATCAGCTTTGCATGAGTGCCTCCCCAAAAACCCATGCATATGCTGTAAACTCTGGATAATGTGTTCTTCCTGTCCATGGCCTTACATGTACTCTACAAGAAAAGAACAGATTAGCATTTCAGCACATTTCCCAAATATATATGAAGTGTATTTCCACTTCTATCTGGTTTTGGATTTTGTTCGGGTTTATCAGCGTTATTACCAAGTATTCCTCCAGTATCACTAAAGTGATCACTCAAGCAGAACTCTACAGTCAGAATATCTATATTGAAAAAATACACAACAAATATTCCTTTTATAACACACACTTCCATTGACAAACCCATCAATCCTCCAAGGATTAGTAGGGGTCATGAAAAAAATGGCTTCTTTATTAGATGAGAATTAAAATCTAAAAGGTCTTAAGAAGGTATGATTCATGACATCTTGTGGTTTTCTATGTAAGCCATAGTACTCAAAACTATATATATAGACACCAGCCATTTATACAACACTATCACTGGAGCCAGCCGAATTCATCTGACCCACTGACCAGCTGTTCAACATGCAATCCAAAGGTAATGCAGATGCTTTAATGGTATCTAGACTAAATTTCATAACAAAAATCATTTGGGGTATGGCTGTAGACTGCATGACTGTGAATGCGAAGAAAAAAACCTTTTTGTCACGGTGAGAGTGGTCAAGCACTGGCATAGATTGCCCAGAGAGGCTGTGGATTCTCCATCCTGAGAGATGCTCAAATCCCAACTGAACGGTCCTGGACAACTTGCCCTAGCTGACCCTCTTTGAGTGTGCAATGGGCTAAACTGGACAATGGACTAAATCTCCAGAGGTCCCTGCCAACCTCAACCATTCTGTGAGTCTGAAAAACAAGCACGTGACAAGAACTACTGAGAGAAATACCAATGCTCTGCTGCTACGTCTGTTGCTTAAAACAAAAAATTGCAAAAGGCATCCATAAGCATTGTCATGAAAGAGTAAAAATAGGGAGAGGTAAAATCAAAGACAAAAATGATGAGAAGTAAAATGCTGACAAGATCTCAAAGCACAGACTAGGCAGCAGGAAGCAGAAGCATAGCAAGCTTTATTCCATAATGGCTTATCTTGACCATGTACTGTCCTGGGTTTGGCCAGGACAGGGTTAATTTTCACAGGAATCCAGAAGGGGAATCCAGGAAGGGACACAGCCGGGCGGGCTTACCCCACCTGGCCAAACAGAGCCGGGTATTCCATACCGTGTGCCGTCATGCGGGGTTCCGGGGGTAGGGGGGGTCACAAGGCAGGAACTCACTCGCGGCTCGGGAGGGCACAGCGGCAGTGCGGGAGAGCGGCTCTGTTGTGCAGTCTGTTTTGTCGCATTTTCTCCTTTTCTGTATCATTGCTGTTACTGTTCCATTTGTTTGCTGTTCTGTTAAACTGCCCTTACCCCGACCCACCAGTTTCTGCCTGTTTACGGCGTGGTGGAGCTGGCTGTGCGTTAAAACTGCTTTCTTAGATTTTGTTAAATTTTTTTCTAGGCATTTTTCTGTGTTAAACAGTCAACGGTAAAAATGTTTCTGTCTTGATCAGAAGGCTGTGGTTTTTGAATCCGTACTTGCTGTACTTGTTCCCTGTGGTGATGTTCATTACCTCAGGGAAAAGGATCAGGATTATGATTTTACTGTACTGTACGATGTCAACTTATGACATGATCGCATCACTGTGTATGAAATTAGGCTTGTATTTGCATGCGGCTCTGCGGTCATTTCCATACCTCGGATCCTATCTCTTAGAATTTGTGAATAATCGAACCCAGCCTGTGGGGAAAACCGGAGGGGATACCTTCCCCCACTCTTTCGCCCCCCCTCTCTCCCTCA